TGGGGAGCAAAGGACCCCTTCTCCTCATGCCTCCTAGAATGTACCCCTGTGCTTGCCCTTGTTTCCAACTCAGTTTGTCTAAAATCTCAGGAGATGCCTGGTAGCCCTGCCTGGAATCACTGGAGTGCCACCATCCATCCATTAGTACTCCAAGCATGAATTTGGGAGTTGCTGACCCTCCTCCCTTTCCTTCGCCAGGCAATTTCCAAGTCCTGTAATTCTCTCTCTCAAATATCTACTCAATTCATCCTCTCAGTTGTAAAGGACCCTGACGGCCTCAGAATTGCATTCCTTCCAGCTGGTTCTCTGCAGCACTGAAAGGGAACGTGTACGGGCAGGAGATTTCTGAAATGCAAACATGGTCACGTCCATCCTCTACTTAAAGTCCTTTGGTGACCAACATCTTCTGCAGAACAGAGTCCAGATTATGGCATTCAGGGCAGTGAGGTTTCTGCTACCACTCCAGCTTTCTCTGTTATTCCTTTAACCTGCACCACAGACCTAGATTTCCTGAAGGCACCATTCTTTCTCCATATCTTACTTGCTACTGGGAATGCCTTCCCTACCCTCATTTGCCTAGGATACACCATGTCTTCAAAATTCAGCTCAAACACCTCCTCGAAGGAGACTCCCTGATCTCCACTGGCTTGGATTTGGGTGTGTCTCAACTCTGATCCCACGGCCTGCTCGTATCGATTCTGTGATACTGAACACAGACTTCTGACTCAAGGCTTCTTGGCTCCTATCCCCACTAGACTGTGAGTTGCTGAAAGGCAGGAGCAGCCTCACTCCTCTCTATATCCCCAGTGCCTCACAAAGGACTTTACAGAGTACATGTTTGTTGCACTTCAGACAGAAGAAGGATGTGAACGGAGACACAAAGGATCTATCCAGGAATGGACTGGGCTGCCTGTCCAGTCCAGAGTCCAAGGGCTGTGAGCAGGGATGTGCGGACTAAGCCTGGAAAAGAGGTTGTATTGGTTCTTTGGAGGCCATGGGAGCCAGGCTGAGCCATTGGGGTTTCACGTGGTGTGGTGAGCAGCGGAGAACCTGAAGTGCTAGATGGTCAGAACTGTGCCAAAGACAGGAGGGTGGATTGGAGAAGGGGAGGTGGGGATTAGAGAAAACAGGCAGCTGCTAGCTCTGCTTACAGTCGATGAAACCGCAGCTTGGGACATTATGATACTCAGGGCCACACAGCTGTAAATGGCAGAGCTAGGAGCCGAACCATTGCTGGACTATGTCAGATCCAGAGATCTGGACCTCACCACAGGGTTATCAATAGATGGAGCTTCAAGGTTGTCCGAGTGCGAATGGATAACCATTAGTCAGGACAGGATAGGTTCTGTTGCAGGCACAACACCCAAACCTCTGTGGCTTAACACGTTTTCTATTCACACAGTCCCGTGTGCTGGACACCTGGAGGCAGCTCAGCCATCCGGGCTGCTCTGGTGTGCCTCCATACTTCCCCGGGCAGGGAAAGCACGTGGAGAACCATGTACCAGCTTTATTTGGAAGTTTTACTGGACACACATACCAACCATGATTCAGTGTGGGAGGACCACACACGGGAATGAGTACCGCATTGAGGTCACTGGATGTCACCCTGGAGGCTGCCACCACAGGCAGCCAGAGGGGAGCCTGGTCTGGAGGACGGTGTCTTCCTAAGCACTTCCTGCTCAGCTGTCTGTCAGCTCTGCCCCAGCTGAGGGAAAAGCCAGGTGAAGTTGGCAGTGACCCTGGGAGGGAAGGCAGATCACCGCAGTTTGCAGATGAGGGAACTCAAGGCACAGAGACATTCTGCAATTTGCCTGACTCCATGTACTCTTGCACCAGCCTGCATAGGCAGCCGCTAAAGCATTAGCTGTGCAGTGTGGGTTTTAGGCATTTGGAAGCCTCTCTCTCACTGTATACCGGCCTGTCTAACACTCCATCTTTGCCTCCGCAGCACCTAGCGTGGGCCTGGTACAGAGGAGTGGCCCAATGTGTCAGCCACGCCTTGCACACTTCCCTCCACAGCCCCTGCACCAGCCCAAACATAGCTGTGCAGGGTGTGTGTGGGGAGGCAGGAGGAAGAGTCACCTGCCCCTAAGGCACCAGGTAGGGAGGCCCTCTGGGATCTGTGAGGAGGTAGGGAGAGGCTCCCTGGCACTGCTGGTGCTTCAAAAGGGCGGGGAAGGGCAGATGCCCCTACTGGAGGGAGCCCCGTGGGACCCCGGCGAAGGTGGGCTTCACTGTGCCTAACCTGGCGCCTGGGCGAGTTGTTGCCACGGAACAGTTCTCAGTGGCCAAAGGTTTGCTACCAGGCAGCTCCCTCACTGCACACCACCCTGCTCCTGACCAGGCCTGAGTGGAACTTGTCTCTCTCAGATCCCACGACCCCTCCGATGACTCCTAACAGGACAACCCTCCCTAGTTCTGGGGCTGCCTCTGCTTCTGACAGAGCACTCGGGATAAACTCTCAGCTGGAACCCCACGCCAGTCCCCTGAAAGTGCCCCCACTTCCTCCCACTGCCGCCATGCTTGGCCTCTGACCCTGGGGGGGCCACACAGCCCCTCCTTCCCTCCTCGGCCCGCCGCACCAGAGAAACCAGAACCCAAGCCAAAGGTATCAGAAACGTGTATTCTTTTTCTTTTAATAGTAAACCTCTTTACAACAAATATAGTGAAAGAGTTTTCAAACAAAACTCATAAGAATCTCGAGGACTTTGTCTTTCTTATTGTGTAGAATACTAAGAAAGCATCACCATACAGCACAAAAAGAAATATTGAAAACAAATCAACAGCCACACACTTGGACTCGCCCTGCCCAGGACCCCGGGGGAGCCCCAGGAGTGTGGGTGATTGTCGGGTTGGGGGTGAGGCACCTCCGTGCCCTGTCCCCCTCCTCCCTTTTGGGACTTGATGGGGAAGACAGAGAATCCGGATTCTCCATATAACATTCCAGCGCCCTCCCCCAATGCAAATCCCACTCCTTCTGCCAACTGTCCAGAGGGTGGAGAGAGGGGGCAGAGGGGAGAGCAGAGGAGCTCCCAGGCTCCGTGTCTCCTCCCCTCCGCGAGAGCCCAAATCCACCCCCCACCCCAGCCCAGGGGATTCCAAAGAGTCAGTTAAAAATATATAGATATAGATATTTCTAGATACACTTTTACATCATTTCTGTCTCTCCAAACAAATAAATAATCAGCAAGAGAAGGTGCATTACTTCCTTCCTGTCCAAGGTGGGGAGGGCTGGGGGAGGGTCAGGGTCAGTCTCACTGTACAGAGTGCACTACTGGGGAGAGAGGAAATGGTGTGTTCAGCTGGGGTGGGTGGGGGGCCTTCTTGCCCACTGTCCCTGAAAGCTGTGGGAAACCTGGGGAGGGGAGGAGTGTTGGATGACTCCAGTGATTACTTTGGCAAATGCCCAGTTACTCAGAGGAAGGAGTGGGTGGAGGCGAATTTGGCTTGTGAGAGGAGGGAGAATGAAGTCTGCACTTGAGGTTTGGGTTCCCAGGGACCCTTCTTCTGGCCGGCCAGGAGCCCCTACCCCCAAGAGAAATCTTGGGATACTGAATTGCAGAAACGTCACAAATTCATTCACAAATCACGCCCTGCCCCCAGGGATAGAGAGGAAAGGAAAGGACACACACACATCCACACGTGGTAATCAAAAGCCAGGTTTGCCATTACAAGGCAGAGGGCAAAACTGGTAAATATTGCACCGTGAGCTGCAGGGGCCTCACCCCACCCCGTGTTTAACGGTGGCCGACCTCAGCTTAGAAAGGTGGACAGGCTGATGGCAGGAAGAGCCTGAGAAGGGATGGCCAGTCGTTCAATGTTCAATGAGCACCTATCATTCACTCACCACTCACTCATTCAGCATTTACTGAGAGCCAGGCACACCCACACAAGACCACATCCTCCTCTGTCATGGCCCTGTAGGTCTCATCGATTCCTGAAACTCCCAGGGAGCCTGCAGGAAGACTGGCCATGCCGTGCGCCCAGCCGGCAGGAGGGGTTCAGGGGTGAGGAATGGTGGTTCACTATCGGGTGAGGAAAAAGCTTCAGGGAGGAAGGGGAGCTCGGGTGTCACCCTGAAGGCAGGACTGGGGTGAGGAAAGGGTGAACTGCAGCGAAGGGGCTGTAAAGGTGTGGGTACCGGGTAGACAATTGTGCGAGGAGCCAGGGAGAGGCAGGGCGGCAGGGAGGGCCAACTGCTAGATTCTTTCTGACGGGAGGACAAAAACATCAGAGCTGAGGGTGAGAACAGGCGAAGGAGCAGGCCAGAAGGGAGCGGGGCTCAGGGAGGAGGGTCACGGAGCTGGAAGCCAGGGCTATGTGGCTGCAACAGCCACCTGTCCCTCTGTAAACACATTCCCAGGCACGTGCTCGTGCTCACACACACACACACACACACACACACACACACGCACGCGCACACGCGCACACACACACACACACACACACACACACACGCACGCACGCGCACACGCACACACAGATGCCCTCAGAGCTTAATTCGCACAAAGATTCATGTGTATGCCCAGGCAGGCTCAGAGACCCACACAACCACACACACACATAAATACAAAGGAATACTTGGACATACAAACACTAGATGCCCTTAGGAATACACTCGGGTACATGTGCAGCCACATGTCCCCCTCTGCTCCTGGCTCCTCCCCTGCCTCGTGTTGGGATACTGCAAGTGGCTGGGCCCTACGGGTGGGCAAAGATAGTCACCTGGCACAGAACTGGGCCTTGTCTGCTCTGCTTTCCCACCGGGATAAACCCCCAGGGAGTGCTACCCCCTTGGGCAGAGGAGCTGGCCTCTGTGAAGGAGTCTGCCTGCCCATGCACGTTCGGGTGAGGGGTGGTGTGGATCACGGCGTGGGGCCTGCCCCCTCCAGTTTGACCTGTCATCCTGCCTGAGGTCTCAGGACCTGGGGAGGCGCAGAGAGAGGCAGACTGGGGGCTGGGGGAGGGGAGCAAGAACAACAGCAGAAGAACCTCATCTGTACAGTACGGGCGTTTGAGTCATTATTATTACAATATACTTTGACAAAAATAGAATCTCATTTCATATCAATACAACAACAACAAAAAAAAAACAACAGTTTCCTGGACTGTTACACTGCTAACTTTTCCAAAGGTTGCTATTTACAATTACAGTAGCCAAGAGGGAAGGTGGGATTCGGCCTTGGGGTGGTGGGACAGGAGGTAGCCAGACAATGAGGGCGCCGAGAACAGGGAGGTGGGGTCCGGAGCCGATCGGGGGCAGGAGCAGGAGCTAGGAAGAGGGCGGGGAGAAGGGCCAAGGAGAAAAGAAGGGAGGCAGACCTCTGCAGACCTCCGGTCTCCTTTCCCATCCTCTCACCCATCCCTACGTCCACTCCTCTGGGAATATGTACGTGCAAGGAAGTTCAAGTCCCCTCACTCACACTCGCCCCCAGGATGCAAGGGTCCCGTCCTCAGGCATCCCAAAGTGACCAGACCCGCTCCCAGTGAGTCACCTCCTCACCTCGTCACCTCACTCAAGTTCCTCTCCCCAGTTCTCCCTGCACGCTGTGGCCAGCTTTACTGCGCTGGTGTCCACCGAGGGCTGGGTAGCTATTGCACTGTGTCTCAGAGAAAGCGCTGGGAGAGGGAAGGGATGCTCACCCCTTGTCCCAGCCCTGTCCCTCCTCAGCCTTCTCTCTCCTCATGGCTCTTTCTCTCCAAATGTGCTTCAGAGGGGCGCTCCCTCCAAGCCTCCCTGCAGCCTCAGATCCCTAGGCAGCCTTCCCGGCCCCAAAGCTCAGCCAGCACCCCCACACCCGGGAGGTGCAGCTCACACAGAACCAGTGAGCAAGTGCCGTGTGTGTGCAGGGGCTTGTGGGGCCGGGCCTGGGCATCCTGCCGCAGGGACAGCCCGGAGGCAGACACCCTTTACAGAGCCTCCTCCTCGCTTTCCCCTGACACACAAACCCACCATCACACCAGCTTTGGGGTTCAGTCTGTTGTAAGGGTTTTGTTGTTTGGTAGTTTTTTTGGTTATTTCCCACTATCTGGGGGGCGGGGTGGGAGGGCTCCGCATGCAGGGCTCGGCACCTGTCCTTCCCCGAAAGCCCAACAGCCCCCCCGCCCCTCCTGCAGCATATGTGTGCAACGTGCAAAGTGTTCCCCTTCCCGCGGAGAGAGCTCCCGCGGCCGGTGAGAATGGCGGGGGTGCAGAAAGGGGATGGGAGCACCCCCCTCTCCAAAGTGAGAACCCAAATTAAAAAAAAATAATATTAATAATAACATAATAATAATTATACACAAAGGTAACCGTCAACAGGACACGGAGCACAAGAAAGGAAGTGGGGGTCAAGCGGGAGGAGCCCAGGACAGGGGGTGGGCGGTGAGATTGTCAACTCTTCATCAGGGTGGCTGAGAGGGGGGGAGTGGGGGGCGTCACTTTAATGTCTGTGAAGAGAGGAGATGGGGGAGGGGGGGAGGGGGGGCCCGGGCTACAGGGCATGTGTCCCCCGCGCCCCTCTCCCTGTAGGGCCGGGGACTAGCGGCAGGGCCAGCTCTGAGGGGAGGATGCTATCGAGCAGGACTGATGCTGGAGGGAGGGTGAGAGATGGGCCTTTGGTGGGGGTGAAAGGGCATGGTCTGCCCCGGAAGGGCTGACGGAAGGGCTTGCTGGCCACAAGGCCTCTCAGGTAGGAGATAGAACAGGCTGGGGGCACACGGGGCAGTCCCTGGGTGTAGCAGACACTGGCAGACAAAGGGGTGATGCTACAGTACCCAGGTGTCGAGCCGCATCCTCTTCACAGCGGAGCCCTCGGCCTCGGGCTCTGGGGCTGGGCGCAGCAGGCCCAGGGTGGGCCCGAAGTCCCCCCGGCCGTCGTCCCGGTCCCCCGTCTCATAGGAGCCCCCGGCTGGGCTGCTGAGGCCGTCGCCAGGCTCAGGGCGGGCGGCCGGGAACACGGCGGGAGGGGGAGGTGCAGGGCTGCGTTCGCGGCTTGGGGACACAGGCTCCGATTTGATGCTGATGTGGGGGTGGGTGGTGACCGTGAGGGCAGCACCCACGTGGGGCAGGGGGCTGCCAGGGCTGGTAACAGGAAAAGGGGACAGAAACAGAGGAGAGAAGGTGAATGACAAAACAGAGAGCGAGAGGACAGAGAACGGGAGAAGATGGGGGATGGGGATGAGAGGGGGAGGAAGAGACAAGAGGATGGAGACAAGAGACCAGGAGACAGATGGCCAAGTGAAGGAAAAGAAGGAAAAGAAGTCAAATTAGTTTTCTTTCTTTCTTTCTTTTTCTTTCTTTCTTTTTTTTTTTAATTAGTTCTTTCTATCTCGTGTCATCTTTTACAGCGCGGGGTCCCCACCCCGGCTGGCTGGGGGAGGGGCTCGGGCCTGTGCCTGGGATATCAGGACTGCCATCTGGTGCCTCCCATGCTGTCTAACTTAAAGGGATCCCTCCTCTTCCCCACCCTCAACCCGCCCTTCGCAAACATGTGCCGGATCCCCAGGGACTCACATCAGGTTGCTGAGAGACACAGGGACCAGGTGGGACTGCTGCTGCTGCTGCTGCTGCTGCTGCTGCTGCTGCTGGGGCTGCTGCTGGGGCTGCGGCTGGGGCTGGGGCTGAGGCTGCGGCTGGGGCGGCTGCTGGGGCTGTGGTGGCTGCTGCCAGGCGGTGACATTGCCTAGTGACAGCCCCCCAGGTGAGCTGAAGGCTGGTAAGGAGGACAGCTCCGCACTGGTCAGCTGGTAATCTGCCGGGTGGGGAGAGGGAGAATGAGCCACGGTGGGAGGGAGAGGACTAAGGCTGCGGCACCTCCGGAGGAACGTGGAGAGGGAAGGAGCTGTTAATGACAGAAGGGAACAATCACAAAACCCACAGGAACCCCAGGAAGCTGGCCCGCACTCCTAGTTCAAAAAATGCAAATTGTAACAGCCATAAGGTGCTAGGGGTTTTTTGTCTGTGTTTATGTTTTTTTTTAAGGTGCTAGGGTTTTTTTTTGTTTTTTTAAACAGGATGAAAAGAGATGGTTTCTTTCTTTTTATTATATGTTTTTATTGATTTTTAGAGAGATAGTAAGGGAGAGTGAGAAGGGGGAAAGAGAAACAGATCAGCTGTCTCCTGCATGCCCCCTACTGGGGTTCAAGTGGCAACCGGGGTACGAAACCCTGACCGGGAATTGAACCAGGGACCTCTTGGTGCATGGGTTGATGCTCAACCACTGAGCCACACTGGGAGGGCAAGAGGTGGCTTCTTAAATAGTGTTTAACTTTTTAAAAAGTTTACTGTGTGAGGTACCACTTCAGAATGTCAATTAATGAGAAGAAAGGTAAAAAACCAGGGGAGGTCTAATATATGCCTGTCATCTCTTCCACTGCCACGTCTGTAAGTGCCTTTTAGAGACGGAGGGGAGGGTGATCAAACACCAGGTGAACAGCGTGTCTGAAACAAGCTACTGCTAACGGCCATCCCACCTTCTACAAAGTCCAGAGTCTGCTAGAGACTGTCAACACGTAAGTAGCAGCCAGATTGGAGCTGCTGGGCCCCACGTAAACACGGAGGATGCGTGTCTGCCCCCCGAAGCGCCTACGAGAGCCGTGGGGCAGGGAGGGAAACGGGGGGGGGCAGCACAGCAGGCCAAGGTGCTGACCAGTTTCCCCAGGAGATGCTGCCTGTTCTTTTCTAAAATTTCTGTCTTAATAAAGAAGCGGTGATATTTGCTCTGTCCAGGACAAACAGAGCCACAAGGTGTTTCACAATGTACACAGCGCTGTAATGCTTCGTGTTGCATCCTGTTTGGAACGGTTTAGAAATGTCTTCCCTCAGGAGCAGAAGGGGATTGCACTGTGGGAGCGGGAGGGCACGCACGCCCCTCCTCCCATCACAGCAGCCTGGCACCACCAAGCTTACTCGGGGGCCACCCGCCAGCCCCGTCGTTAGAGGGCAGCTTTATCTGTGCCACACAACAATAAGGTCACAGGCATGAGCGATGAGGTCAAACTTCCTGGCTACCTCCATTATAGGTCATGTGACCTTGGGCAAGCTACTTACTCTCCATAAACTGGAGGCAATAACCCTGCCTGTATCACACAGCTGTTGGGAGATCCGAGTTAATACACAGGGAAGCACGCCCTGTGTGGTTAGAGCGTCGACCCAAGCATCGAAGGGCTGCGGGTTTAATTCCCCGTCAAAGGCATGTACCTGGGTTGCAGGTTCAATCCCCACCCACGATTGGAGTGTATTCAGGAGGCAACCAATCGATGTGTCTCTCTCACATTGATGACTCCCTCTCCCCCCCCTCCCTCTCTCCCTCTCTCTCTCTCTCCTTTCCCCCCCTTCCAGTCTCTCTAAAAATCAATGGAAAAAATATCCTCAGGTGAAAAGTAACAAAACAACAACAACAAAACACACATGAAGCATGTAGAACAGTGTCTGGCACATAGTAAATACTCAAAAGATTTACTTATTATTATTAATTTACAAAGGAGGCGACTTCAGCCTCAAGTTTGAGGAACGCCCCGGGTCACAGAGAAAGCCAACAGCAGAGCTAAGACAAGACCCCAGGCCTCTTTATGACTTTTAGGTCTCACCCTAGAGACATGGCCCATGCTTGCCGCTGGCCTCATTAGCCTTAGCCAGGAGCTCTGAGGTGCTTACGTTTAAAAAGCAGAGCAAGGGCAGAAAGGGGGCCCTAGGACCGACTATTTCAAACACTCCTTATATAAACAAGGAAGCCAAGCACAGAAAAGCACGCCACCTGCCCAACATCCCTCAGCGAGTGAACGGTTCAGACTCAACCCCTAGTCCCTCAGTTCCTAGCACGCTCCAGCCCCATCACCCGGAGCCTTGTCCTTCCAAGGGGCTTTCCTCTTCTTAGCTAAGAGGAACACGGCCTGCAGGTCACCTGGCAACGCACTGGGCCTGCTCCTAGCATGTCCACAAGCCAGACCTCTGCAGGCAGGGTTAACAAGGGACCAGGCCTGTCCCTTACTAAGACACTACCATGGCCAGATCACCCCCAGCCGGGACCTGAACTGGGGACTAGGACTGCACAGTGAACAACTCAACAACAGTGTGTTCGTGGGGGTTTTGTTTATGCATCTGGAGTCACCCAAATACCCTGCTGCTGAAACTACTCCTGCAGCCAGAGCCATGGCTGCCGAGAGGATGTGAGGAAGGCCACGCACACCTCTCTCAGGGCTCCAGGGCAGGCCCAGCATCAGCATCTTCTCTCGCCACTGAGCACCTGCCCCAGGTTCACGGACACTCACTAACCTCCTTCCTTCTTCACAGGGCAGAAAATCACCGCCCTGGGATTCCAAAAACAACAACAGCTCCTGAAAAGTGGTCTGTGCTGCCCCATGCCAACCACCCTTGGCTGTCCTCAGGGAACTGGTTTTTCTGGCCAGGCCCAGCCCCAGCTGGCAGGGCTGGACGAGCCTCAGAGACCTCCTGTCCACTCACAATTCCCACAGATGAAGAGACTGGCCCCAGGGACTGGGCCATCTGAAGCAGTCCCCTCTGAAACCGCCCGAGGACATAGCAAACGGAGAGTGTGTGCACGCATGGGGGAACACATGGGAACAAAGGGCTGCACAGACACCGGCGGGATAAAATCTGGACACAGATGCCATGCCAGAGTCTGGTTCCGCAACAGCTGTCCTACCCGCCCCAAGGGGCTTTCCTACATGCAGGGCTGGGTTCTGGATTTATACACGTCGGGAAGAGGTGAGATTTATATTGGTGCCTGGGACCTAGGGTGCTTCAACTCTGGAATGGGGCTTGGAGAGGGGAGTGAAGTTGAAGGGTCTTTTGATCTAGTCTCATCTCATCGCAAAACAGCCCTCGCACAAGCCACTCACAGGTCAGAGAACCTGGGAACAGCAGGGACAAAGGCCAGGTTCCCAGCCACACACATGCCCTGAAACAAAGTGACAAGACATTTCCCTTTGGGCAGTCCTTCCCGACACTGCAGCTTGTAAGGAAGGCTCAGAGTGTCACAGGCTGTTCCTGGGAGAATGTGAGTGGGTGACACCGGCCAGGACAGCTCCAGGTACCCAGGAACGGCCTGGGCACTGAGTGTCCTGTCTGAATTCTTCTACCTAGCGGCCTCGCTCATGTCTTCATTCCTCTTTCCTCAACCTTCCTCCGTCTTCCTCCTCCTTGCCCCCCTAATGCTTCACCACCAAGGCAGTTCCAGTGGCCTTTCCTGGAACCTGGATGAATCCTTCCCTCTGGCCTGCTCAGCCTCTTTCTCTCTCCTCTCCCTGATCTCTTCATTCTTCTCCTCTAAGCCCCACTGAACTGACCATGTCTGCCTCCCTACACCCCAGCCCTGGTGGCCTGAATCATCTGCTCGGCCCACCCCTGTGCTGGCTTCTTCTAATGCGAGGCTCCCTAAGGACAGGGCTTCCCTTCTCCATTAGGTGTTATATTTAAAAAAAAAAAAAAAAAAAAAAAAGGAATACCCTTGCCCTGGCCGGTGTGGCTCAGTGTTAGAGCATTGGCCCAAGCATTGAAGGGTTACAGGTTCAATCCCTGGTCCTGGTCAGGGTGTGTGAGGGAGGCAACCAATGGATATGTCTCTCTCATATTGATATCTCTGTTTCTGTCTCTCTTCCTCCCTTCCAATTTTTCTAAAAATCAATAGAAAAAATATCCTTGGGTGAGGATTAACAAAAAAATTAAAAAATAAGGAATACCCAGTTAAGTCTGAATTTCAGACAAAATAATGAATAATTTTTTAGCATAAGTATATCCTGGGACATATTTTATAGAAGAATGTCTGTGCAACATACTAAAAAATTATTCATTGTTTTACCTGAAATTCAAATGTAACTAGGCATTCTGTTTCTATTGGCTAAATCTGGCAACCTTAATTACGTAGGGCTCTCCCAAATCAATGGCCTTTCTCCGATTAGGTGTCCCCAGAGAATATTTCGTGTCCCCTCTCTGGTCCCTCCCGCCCCAAGGCCACCTGAACACTCACCTGTGTTGTAGGTGGTGGGCATGGAAGAGAAGGGGAGGCCCTGGCTGAGTAAACTCGGTGTTGCCACGGAAACCACTGGGGTGGTGAGCGAGTGGGTAGACTGGGAGGCCCCAAGGCGCTGGGCATTGTTCTGCAGGAGAAAATTGTCTGTCAAGAGGTGGTAGGTGGGGAGGCGGGTTGCATTATCCTGACCCTCCATTCCAAGGCCAACCTGGGGTCTCCGAGTCCCAAGGCCCAGATGGGATGCCTCAGCAGAGGCCCCGAAGATACACAAACACATGCTGTTGCATTCAGAGATCCACAGAGGGAAACATGCCACACAAATCCATTCACACCTACACACACAGAGGAATGCATGCCCTGTGGCCCAACACCAAGCTCTCCGAGGGCAGAGGAGAGAAGGGAGAGCCATTCTTCCCCTGGCTGACGCCTCTGGAGTCTGCTCTCCATCTATCACACAGCAGCACATGCCTGGGGAGAGGCATGCTGGCATCTGTGACAGAATGCGTGTGCCTGCGTGTATGCACACACGTGTGTGGGGCTGTCAGCTCCATCTGCTGCTGACTCACTTGTTTATTCCAACTCCACGCTGGGGCCGAAACTGCTGCCATGTTGGCCGCCAAAGCCTGCCTGCCTTTTCCAGCCTCACTGGCCTCCCATCGGGGAACTGGGGAGGGAGGAGCCCCCGCCCCATCCTGGCTGAGGGTATGTAGGTGTGTGAGGGAAAGAGCGGCTGGGTACGCCTCTGAGTGCCTGTGAGACGGCTGTGCAGAGGGAGCACCAGACAGAGGGGAGAAGGGGGAGCCCCCCACCGACGACATCTCTGGCCTCGCCTTAAGTCTCGGCTTCCCTGGAAAAGGACTTATTGTCTGGCTGGTACCCCTTTCATGAGGCCCTGCGCTGGTCCTGGTCAGGGTGCGTGCCAAGAACGTAGTGGGCCTGAGCAGAGTCGAAGGGCAAGTGCAGCCCAGTTTCTCGTCTAAGGGCCTAATCCAGGCTTCCTGGGACAAGGCCTAGCCCACTCCCCGGGCACACGCACAGACACACAGAGAAAGGTGTGCCTGCATGAATGCAACATCACAGGAAGACAGCTACATACACACATGTACAAACACATGCATGTCTGCCCCCTGCCCCATCCACCTTTGCATCCTGCTTGGAGCTCCCGGCAAACAACCAAATAAACAACACACACTACACACACAGGCGAAAGGACAGGGGCACACACATATTCCATGCTGGGGGCCACAGAGCAAGGGGATGACCCAGAATTCAAAGCCACGGCAAACATCTCACAGCCTCACTTACCAGATCTAAATGGTCCTCAGTCTGGGAGCAGAAATAAAACCAAGGCATGGTTCAGTCTCTGGCCTCCACCTTCCCCTCACACACTGTCCCCACACCATCCCGCCTCCGCACGGAGCAGGAAGGCTCTGCGGCCTAGCAGCACAGAGCTTCTCCCTGCCCTGAAGGATTTCCACAAGATGCTACATCCCAATGTCCATCAGCCAGGAAATCCTCACCACCTAATTCCCATCCTCTGCTGTGATGGTGGACCTCTTCCTGCTACAGAACATTCTCTCTCCTGTTCCCTTTACTGCCCTGCAGGCTGGTACTTGTGTCCCAACCTGGTGTAAAGCCCTCTGGGACTTCTTCCCAGCCATGCTTCGTGATCTCTCTTGGGAAGTCCTAACTGCTGGGTAACCTTCACACCTCCCGCTGGAGATCCGCTCTTTCCTCCCTCCACGCTCCCATTCCCCACCCCCCTGCCCCTCCCCGCCCACCCCTCCCCGCCCCTCACTCCGTCCGAACCGCCACTCACCAAGTGATGCATTAGCCCCTTTCCTCCCTGGGAAGTGATGACCCTCAGGTCAGGCTTGCGGCTGGGGGCTCCGAGCTGGGCGCTGTGGGTGGGTGGGGGTGGAGACTTGGCAGGGATGACCTTGTTTAAGCTGTTGCCATTGGCCACAGGGAGGAGGCCAGGGGAAGCCCGAGCACTGACATAGCCGTTCCCTAGAGAAGAGATGAGGGCAAAAGGAAAACATGGACCCACCCCTCAGCCCTGTTAACTGGCCCCTCCCCACCCCCCGCCATTACTCCGGCCACCCAGCCCTTCTCAAAGCCACGCCCAGGCTTTGAGTGGGTACTGAGCTCTCTGATTTCCCCCTAAGACCCTTTCCTACTGAATCACTGGTTCATCCTCCTGGCTCTGAGCTACGTGTGATGGGACTGGGTGGTGGGAGATCTGAGGTTGGTAGGAAGAATTAGAAATGGAAACCACAGTGTTCAAGAGGTTCTTCTGCAGCCAAGCTTCCCCCACCTTTTCTCCTCCTGGTACCCACTCCTGGGCAGGAAGTCCTGTGATCTCACTACCTGCCTCTGACCAGGCCCACACGACCCAGGCTGGAAAAGGGGTGGCAGCCTGGAATTTGGGCCTCAGTTAGGATTCTGCTCACCAGGGCAAATCGGCCACTCAGGCCGCTCCCTCTGCAGTGAGCTGGGTGTACGGTGATTTGGATGAGCCCATGACAAGATCCCTCAGCTCTGGAAGATGGACCATTCGCTAGTGGTGGTGTTGTTCCTGGCAGGGGGATTGATAACCCAGCCTCCAGCATAATTAGGCTGGTAACAACAAGCACAATGACATACTCCACAACCTACCTGGGGCTTTCACATGCATATTATCTCATTTAATCCTCACACTAACCCTCAAGGCGGTCAGGACATGTATCATTAGTCCTATTTACGGAAGGGCCTGGTTGACAGAGGTATTAATGACTTCTATGGGGCCACATAGCTACCTAGAAGCCAAGCTAGGGCCCTCACCACTTTCCACATGCCAGGCCTGAGGGCTCACAAGTATCGCTGCCTCCTTAAGGTCTGCAGGCATTTGTCTGGCCCTCTCCTTAGAGAGGGAGCGTATTCACTCATTTCCCCCACCTCCTAACCCCATACACAATTACTGCCAACAGGCTAGTGCTTGGTGCTAAAATGAGGGGTTCTAAAGCCCAGAGGCTGGGGGTAACCACAATCAGAAGTGTCATCTTGCTCTGTTGCCTGCAAGCACACTGCTGCTCTGTAAGTGTGTGGCTGCTTCCATCCCAATTCCCAGATCACTGCGGGAATGGCAGGAATGTCAGGGTGACGTCAATGGTGACATTCGGAGTCATAGTAACCAGCCAGACAACAGCACGAGCAGGAGCACTGTCAGCTGCCGGGTGGGGAGTGTGTGCCTCTCTTCTGGGACTTATAGATGTGTACACACTGTGCACATCTAGTGTCTGGTATTTCCATCAGTGAGAATGCCTACGTGTATGTATGTAAGTTATGCGTGTGAGTCTGTGCCTATTGCACACTGGCAATACAAGATATAGTCCCATCCTTCAGATCCCAACCAGATGTCCTGCTCAACTGGAAAAACTTGAATCTTCACCTCCAACAGTTTGTCCAGAACTCTCTGAGCCTATAGGTCCACACCAATCATTGCTACAGACAAAAAAAAATCTCAGGGCTTTGAAATCTTCCAATGCAGCCCTGGGATCTTCTTCTCCTGTAATCTAGGTCCTCCTTTGTCCCTGGACTCCTGGGCAGGACCTCTCCCACCCCCAGCAAGGGCAGCGGTACTCACCAACAGGGCTGGGGCAGGCTCCATTAGCACTGTTGAGGTCGCCCCCCAGCATGGCCCCTGGAAGACAAACAGAACCGTGATGAGCTGACAAGACGTTCCCTCCAGAAGTCTTGGTGACTAATCAGGACAGGAGCCATAGTTCCTTCCCTCAGGAGCCACATAAATGGGAGAATGCTGTGCAGGTGAAGAGAAATACTCTATTGAAAATGGAATTCCAAGTCGCCATCACACCTCATTTCCAGCTCACCCGCCCACCTACGGCCCACTCACCTGCACTGGCCGGGCGCTGGGGCAGACCAGGAGACACACTGTTCCTCTGTAGTGCTGGCTGCTGGGGGGACAGGAGCCGTGGGTCCGTGAGGGATGATGTCACCAGGGAAGGGGTGACCAGGGAACTGCTGGGATTGCTGAACTGCAGTGAGCTCTGATTGGACACGGGCACGGTCACAGGCATGGCAAAGTTGGGGGCCGGGACAGCTGACTAGACAGAAAACGGAGAGGCAGGGTCAGGCCAGGGTGACCCCTTACCTGGGGCCCACTTTGCCTGAGAAAGCGGGCCAGGGTTCTTCTAGTGTTGGGCTGTGCACTCAGTCTAGGGCCAGCAGCTCCATCTCTCTGCCTTGGGCCCTTCTGGGGTCCTGCCTGCCACTCCCACCAAGGAAGCGCGTTGGTGGGACTGCTCTGGATCCAGCTCTGGCCCAGAGAACGAGGACAAGGCTCTGCTCACTTCAGACAGGACCAGGGACACCTGGAGCCCCCTAGGAGAGGTGGGTTAGTCCTCAGCCAGGCAGGACACACGGGGAGCAGGTTAGAGGCCCTGAGTACAGACCCAAACTCACACACGCAGCTGTTACAGGCCTGCACTTGGGTCCGGGCATCATCCCACTTGCAGTTTCTCATCCACTGGCCTACTGTAGGTGTTCACCCACCGCACTGCCTTTCCCTTTTAACAGTCTCTGACTCCCCTGAGCAATGCTACTGAGCATCTGAGCCTGAGGTGTCAGAGCAGGCCCAAGGGGGCCTTCCCCCACAAAAGAGCCGGAGAACAGCAATTCCTATATTCCTGTCATCTACACATTTCTTGCTGGTGAGGGGGACACTCCAGGCCTCTCCTGGCTTATGCTCCATCCAAGTGAGGCTCAGCGAGGGTCACAGGCTTATCATCACCAAGGTTAGAGGTTCCTTAGGAATCACCAATAGCCCCCGCATGGCTCAGAGCAGAACATCCATCAGAGGCAGCAGAGGGCCAGGGCGGGCGGGGCGCAAAGCCACACCATGCACCACGGGGAGGCTCTCCTCCATGCTACTACTCACGGCCAGTCTATAACTCTGCATCATTTTATCAAACTCCTCGTCTATCTTTTTATATTTCTCCTCCGTCTGGGGGGTCAGGGCAAACACCTCGTCCACCTCAGGGCTCTCACATTCCCTGTGCTTCTTGTGCAGCGCCTGGGGGAAGGGGCCGGAAGGGGGGCCAACAGAGAGAGAGTGAGTGGGGCTCACCCCATAGCGCCGGAAGAGCCCGTCGAGCTCCTCGCTGGCGCGCCGGTACTTGTCCTCCAGCAGGGGGCTCTGTTCCAGCGAGTCCTCCCCGTCCGGCTCGGGGCTGTCGCAGCCGTTGAAGCCCTTCTTCCTCAGGGTCTGTAACCGCACCACTACCGTCAGCAGAGGTCAGGGTCCTCCCACACCCACCTCTCTGGGGTTCTTTCAGCCCTTAACTGTTCCCCAACCTCCTTCCTCAGGGGCCCCGGCATCTCCCCAGCCCAGTGCTTCAGTGCCACCTCCCCTCTGGGGCCCTGTGTGAAGAGGCGGCTGGTGGGGAGGCATCAGCGTGCAGGGGTCACATGGAAGGAAGGCACGGCCCAGAGAATGCACGTGGTGCAGAGACATGTGCCTAAGGTGACAGGTGGGGAGGGCTCTGGGGGTTGGGAGGAGGTGCCCTGGCCACCCCTGCCTTACCACCCCTGACCAGCTCTGCACAAAGGCATGGAGCGTTCCCCAGGGGAAGGTAATGGGGCTGGCTTTGCCTAGCTCAATCCCTGGGCTCTGCTCAGAAGATGGAGGAGAGAGAAACAGCAATGAGACAGAGAGGTAGAGAGACAAGAGAGCGAACGGCAAACAAAGGAACTAGCATTGACTGAGCTCCTACCATGTGCCACCCCGTGTGCTGTCCTTGCCCAAGGCCAGAGCCTCTCACGTGTGGCCATAAAGCAAGGACATACCTGGTGGGTCTGGAGTAGACCTCAAAGCTGCCCTCTCAAGGATCAAAACATCTTCATAGATACTTGTTTTGTCTTTAAAATGAATGCAAATTTTACATTCTGGTCCTGTTTTCTCTAATATAAAAATAAGGGCATTTCCTCCAAATCTCTGAGTTAAAGTCTCATTACAGGAAGGCAAGCCTGTGCCTTCCCAGGCATCCTTCTCCATCCGCACAAGTTCCTGTGCCCAAGGCACGAATACCTTGTGTGAGGAGAACTGGGCCGTCTCATCCAATTCCCACAGCACCCTTCAAAGCAGGCTCTGGCCCCATTTCGTGGCAGTGGATGAGCATCAAAGCTCTGGGAGGCCAACCCATCTGCCAACGTCATGTGGCCAGTAAAGGCCAGAACTGGACCCCAAAGCCCGTGTCTCTCAACAGTTCACAACGGCAGTCCTCTTTGAAACAGAACATAGGGCTCTGGGACCCAAAACGGGACAGAGACAGCAGGAGAGATGAAAACAAAGAGGGAGACAAAGAAAGAAAGAGTGGGATGCAGTAGCAGACCAAAAGCTAGAGAGGGGAGAGAGACAGACACCGACAGAGAGAATTTGAGAAAAGATGGAGGAGAGATCACGTCACGCCCGACAGACAAGAATGACTCTGAGGGCCGCAGGGGGAGTGGGCCGGGCCGGCAGCCACACCTGACATGTGCTCACTGCCCCTCCTTCCTCCTCAGCTAGGGTGTGCGTGAGAGGACGTGGGCTTATCCGTTGGTGCACACAGGTCTGGAGCTACGAGGGCAGGTGTACCCCTGGGCATGCACAGGCAGGCCCGGCCCGTGGGTGCGTCTGCACGGGCACGTGGCGCTGGGTGGCAGGCAGGGGTGGGTGGGGTCCGGTGCGTGGGCCCACCTCGATGATGTCAGCATTGGTGCGGCTCTCGTGCGGCTCGTTGTACTCTGTGTACTTGAGCAGCACCTTGTCCATGTCCGTGCTGGCGTACTGGAACAGCTTGTTGGAGTGGTTGAAGATGATGAGGGCGATCTCGCAGTCGCATAACACACTTAGCTCGTACGCCTTCTTCATGAGCCCGAACTTCCGCTTGGTGAATGTCACCTGCAGGGGGTGGGTGGGCAGCCGGATCGGGCTCAGTCAAGGCCTGCCCAGGAGTCCCCACTACAGACAGCTGGACACAGCCTCTTCCTGGGAGCCCCCATCTCAGTGACACAGCTCTCTTTTCAGGAGCCCCTGGCCTGAGGAAGAGACAGGCCAGCATCCTTCTGCCAACACATGGCCACGGCACAACCCACAACTAACTCACTGAAGGCAGAGGACCCGGATGCACCAACCTCCACATCTCTGTTCTGGGGACTATAACGAGGTCAGGAAAGGAGAAGAGAAGGACTTCCTGGCTCTTCCCCTGGGGTAGGAAGAGGGAAGGATTCACCTTGGGAAAGGGGGCATGCCCAGGGCATTTGCCTTCTTTCTGGGCAGGGCTCATGGGCATGTTTGTGTGGTTGCATCAGCGCAGGCGCTCTGGGACACAGGATTCTAACAGCTGCAAGGAGGTGGGGGCTCCTCTTTGTCCCCCCTCAGTCCTTCCCCTTCCATAATAGCCTTCAGAGACCCTTCCTGCAGGAAGCCCTCATGGAGTGGCTGCAAGGAACAGAGGCTGAGGCCAGCTCCCTGCCCTCATCCACACTGTGTGGCCCGAGAACCTCCTCACCTGTCGGTTCCGCTCATCGGTGATTCGCTGGATCTGAATCTTTTTCCTCCCCATCTTCTCCGGGGATCCTCAGTGCCAGGGAGGGGAGGGGATCGCTGGGTGGCAGGTCTCGGCACACCTCACACTGTGCTCATGAACGGTCTGGGACCAGTGCTCAGTTCATGGTCTGCAGGACACCTTCTGCACAGCCTCCTGGAAGGGGAAGGTCATGGCAAGAAGTCAGTCCTAGCAATCCTCAGCCCTGCTCCTTGGGCACACAGGCCAGGTCCACAGCACCTCTGGGAGAGGCTGTCAGTGTCCTCAAAATGAGGACAGGGTGGCAACCTGAGGGGACGGCATGCCACAGCCAGGCACAAGCTGGACCTCACACTCAGAGCCCAGGACTCAGGTTCCAGGTCAGATGGAATACATGGAGCTCCCTGACTTCTAAGGGTCTGGGTCTCAGAGAACATCCCGGCCACTTTCCTCTCCCACAACAGAGACACCTGGGCTCACCAGCTGTCCCTCTGGCCAGAACAGCGGCTCTTGTGCTGGAGCTCAGTGCAGAGAACGTGTTGCGTGAACACACCTGCCAAGTCCATGCAGCTGGCAGTTTACCTGGTACCACAATGGGAGTGATTCTGCATCCCTGTATCAAGAACATACCAGAGCCCTGGCCAGTGTGGCTCAATTGTTTGGGCATCATTCTGTGCACCTGAAGCTTGCTGGTTCCATTCCCAGTCAAGGCACATGAATGGGTTGCAGGCTCAATCCCCAGTAGGGGGCATATAGGAGGCAGCCAATTGATGTTTCACTCTCACTCACATTTATGTTTCTCTCTCTCTCCTTCTCCCTTCCTTCCTCTCTAAAAATTAATTTAGCCCAGCTGGTGTGGCTCCGTGGTTGAGTGTTGACCCATGAACCAGGAGGTCACAGCTCCATTCCCAGTCAAGGTACATGCCTCGGTTGCAGGCTCCATCCTGGGGGAGGGGGAGGAAGAGGGACAGGGGCCGTGCAGGAGGCAGCCGATCAATGATTTTCTCTATCATTAATGTTTCTCCCTCTCCCTCCCTCCCTCTGAAATCAATAAAAACTAATATTTTTAAAAATTTTGATAATTTTAAAATCTTAAAAAACCACAAAGACCATACCAGAAATCCTCAAACCCAGCTCACGAAGCCCTGGGGCCTGGTATTCCAGAGTGGGGCTGGGGCTGTAGACCCCCTATCTCTTCTACCACTTCCACACCAGTCCATTTTACTCAGTGGGCCTAACCCTGTAACTTTTTTTGAAGTGTTCTGTTGCTATAAACTAGGGGTGTCGAACTCAATCAGAGAAGGGGCCAAAATCTAAAATCCAGCCTAAATCGCGGGCCGAATGGTTTACTGAACAGTCATAAACTGTCATTGTGATGGAAACGCAGCGGAGTGCAGTGATGACAGCGCGGTGCGGGCCACATTGCAAGGCCTGGCGGGACAGATTTGGCCCGCGGGCCTTGTGTTTGACACATGTGCTATAAACAAACAAACAGACAAACAAACCACCTTTCTAGACCAGGGGTTGGTAATTTTTTCTGTGAAGGGCCAGATATTAAATATTTCAGGCTTTGCAGGCCTACACTGCCATTGTAGCATGAAAGTAGCTGTAGACAACACAGATGAATGAGTGTGGCTGTGTTCTAATGAAACTAGATTTATACGAATAAGCATGGGCCACAGTTTGCTGATTCCTTCTCTAAAGGAATGGGCCAAGTCTAGAACCCAAGTTCAGTCTGAATAGTGCTTCCCAACCTTGTTCACCTTGAAGCACAAAGAGAAAACACAGAGCCTGCGGACGTACCCGCAGGAGACGGCCGGAAGCCAGGAGGCCGCAGGCACCAGGCGGGATTCTCTGTCTCAGCGCGTCTATTGGGTAAACCGTCATGGCCCATCGGTTGAACAGCTCCAGTTCCAGAGCCAGAATGGGAAACGGAGCCCCTGAACTACACAATCCTGGAGATACTCTGGGATGGGAGGGGACACAGGAATGAGAGCTCAGCCTGAGCCTGCAAAGGTGCATGCTTCCCGGTGTGGGCAGCGCCCCAACAGGCTGGGGGAGCCCTTGGGAGCTGGAGGCATGAATTAACCCCAGGGTCCCTCCAACTCTTTGATTTCAGGAGTTTTTTCATCAGAGATGGAGCCTTCTGAGCGATGGTGGAGGGGGCAGTGAGCATAGGACTCATGTTTTCTTTCCCTTTTTAAAAAAATATTTTTTTTTATTGGCTTCAGAGAGGAAGGGAGAGGGAGAGAGATAGAAACATCAGTGATGAGAGAATCATTGATTGGCTGCCTCCTGCACGCCCCCTACTGGGGATTGAGCCTGTGGCCCCGGCATGTGCCCTTGACTGAAATCGAACCTGGGACCCTTCAGTCCACAGGCCACCGCTCTAACCACTGAGCCAAACCAGCTAGGATGGGAGTCATGCTTTCTAAAGCCTCTCCGACTGGGTCCTGAGAGAAGGCCAGACCACAGAAACCCAGCACTTCCCTCCAGAGTTCCCCTTCCACAGCACCCCTGTCGGAGACCCCCCTGCAGTCAAGGGAGGATTTTTACAGAGAGATGGAGAGAGGTGTTTGATAATAGACACAATAATTAGGAACCTGCCCCAGCCCTCGTTGCCAATGGCTGAGCCTTTAGCTCCACTCAGCCATGGTCCCCAGTGCTCCGCAGCAGGGTCTGAGGCTCAGCCGCAGCATCTTGGCGTGGGGGAGGGAGGCAGGGAATCTGTGCACTTGGGAGGAGCCAGGAATACTCCTCTCCACTCTTTCCCCTCCCAGGCCTGTCCCTCAGGCCCTCCCCAGCCCAGCTGAAGGAGAGCTTCTGTTCTGTCTATATCTTCAGAAAGCAGTGGAATTCCCTTCCCTCTCCTGGAAGGGCCCTCTACCCCTCTCTCGTCCCCTCTCCCTTGTTCTCAACCTGCTCCATGGGACCCAGGCCTCCCACGGTGGCCCTCACAAGCCCAGTCAACCCTGAGTGGCCCCAAGACACCTGGGCCCAGAACTGCTCTGTCCCCTCACCATTCCTTGCTTGTAACCCCAATCTCCGCCAAACCCCTGCTACAGTCTCCAACCCAAGGATTTCAGCTCCCCTGCCGCCCAGTGCAATCCACAGGCTACATTTCCTAGAGCCTGGCAGGGGAGGTGAGGAGAGCACACTGAAGGCAGGGGAGTGGGGATAAGAAGAGGCTTAAAAAAATATTTTTTTTTAAATTGATTTTTTTACAGAGAGGAAGGGAAAGGGATAGAGAGCTAGAAACATCAATGAGAGAGAAACATCAATCAGCTGCCTCCTGCACACCCCTTACTAGGGATGTGCCCAAAACCAAGGTACATGCCCTTGACCAGAATAGAAACTGGGACCCTTGAGTCCGCAGGCCGATGCTCTGTCTACGAGCCAAACTGGTCAGGGCAAGAAGAGAGCTTTTTAAAAAGGACTCTTGCCGAAACCGGTTTGGCTCAGTGGTAGAGCGTCGGTCTGCGGACTGAAAGGTCCCAGGTTCGATTCCGGTCAAGGACATGTACCTTGGTTGTGGGCACATCCCCAGTGGGGGGTGTGCAAGAGGCAGCTGGTCAATGTTTCTCTCTCATCGACATTTCTAGCTCTCTATCTCTCTCCCTTCCTCTCTGTAAAAAATCAATAAAATATATTTTAAAAAAATAAATAAATAATAAAAAGGACTCTCTGGCCTGCTTTGGAGACCCCAATGCAGACTGGTAAATGCAGTCACTCCAGCATTCCTCTGGCTTATAGCATCTCACTGCCCTTCCCCTCCCGTTCTATGTTTCCTTCTCACCACCCTTTGTTCACAAGCAAATTCTTGTTGAGATGTAACCTCTGTCAATGTGTGGCCAATATTATGTCTTCGCCAAGTTGGGAGAGAACATTCTTAGCTTTCCTGCCACTCAGAAAGGCCATTACTGCAAGCCAGTCTCACTCCTTTGGTTCCCACATTGTTTACTCTCAACGCATCTTGTTCTCTTCTTCCTAGCACTTGGGACTCTGAGTCAGTGGCCACCAACCTTTCAGACCTCACGGACCACCAGTGGTCCGCAGAACACCGATTGGCGACCACTGCTCTAAATTATTATAATTCTGTGCTTCTATTTAATGCCTGCCTCACTTGTGAGACTCAAGCTTCCTGAGGGCAGGAACCACATTTGTCTTTTTCACCACTCTAGCCCCCGAAAGGAGAAGCTCAGGAAATATTTGTTGAAAAAGAAAAGAGGATTGTTTCATCTTTGTGACCCTGTAAGAAGTCCTCTGTGGTCTTTCCATCAGTCCTGCTGCAGGACCAGCTACCCTTCCTCTCCCAGCTGCACCTGAAGCTTGCTCCCCTGGAAACCACCTACCTTCTGACCACCTCTGCCATTAGAGTCCTCAACCCTCTCCACCCTTGGGTTGGCTGGTATAGAGGGTGAGACTCTAAAGTCTTCTAAGGAGCAGCCCTGAGCACATGGAGATAGAGAGGATGGGGTTGCTTAGGCAACTGTCGCCTGGCAACCAGCTCCCTGGCTGATCTCCTATACCGCCCCCCCACCCCCGCCTCATGCTGGGGGAGCTAGGATGTGAGAGGGATCAGGGCTGAGAAGACAGGGAAGCCACAGAGACCCATCCAACACCCTCTGACAGGGAAAGCAGGAGGGCAACACCTATCCCCACCGTCCCCCAAAGCACTGCTTAGAATGCCATGTTGTCAAGGCCCCTTCCTCATAGCCCCTCCACTGCCAGAAGAAGTGAAGCCACTCCCTCGGCAGTCCTTCCTCCTATCTAACCAGGAGCCCTCCTACAAAGCAGGCTCAGTCCTAAAAATCTTTCCTCTCTGCTCTCCATGCTACATTGCTGCAGAGTCGTAGAAAGCTCTGGGACAAGATCATGAACTCACCCCTGACTTTGGAAGAGGGGTGGCGGGGGCCGGAATGGGCACAGAGGACCCTAAACTGACCCTATCGAAGGTATAGAGGCCTATCCTGTCCAAGCTTCCCTCCTAACCAATTAGCGACATTTTAATGAACACCTGGACCTCCTTAATTAGCAGTCTACCTAATTACCTAACCAACTTCCAGGAGCCAGAGGCCTTAGCATCTGTTCTCCAGATGTGAGCCTTATCTCCCTGGCCTGCCCAGGCCCCATTCCTCTTCTCCTGCCCACCTGCTCCTCCTCTAGGAAGCCCTCCC